ATCACAGACCTCCCTGATGGTATGGCATGATGGATGTATTTCTCTGCATTGAGGACATCATTGATCCTGACCAAATCTCCAACTCCATTTGCAGAAATGTAGCCACGGACTTGCAAGGAACCTCCACCATGCTTCACTGTTGCTGCAGAGACTCATTATTGTAACAGTCTCCAGCCCTTCAGCAAACAAACTGCCAAATATTTCAGATTATGACTCATCAGTCCAGATCACCTGCAGCCATTTTTTTGCGGCCAAAAAGCCATACCTCCGATGTGGAAACAAGGCTGGCTCCGGCCCCAGGACCCCTGCGGTTCAGTAGAACCGAAGGGCTGCTGTACGGGCTATTCACTATAGCCCGTACAGCTCCCGAACATGGCCGAGCGGCTCAGTCGAGCTGAACGCATATGCCTCGGCACTGAAAGCCGTAGCTGGCCGAGCGGCCGGCCGACAGCCTGCTTCTGACAGCTGGGCGGAGCCAGCCGTGATCTTACAGCTGGCTCCGGCCACTTGCAGAGAGATCAGTGTCCCTGGTTACCAGCTAACCAGGGACGCTGATCTCCAGAAAGTCTTAAGGTGCCCATACACTGTACGATTATCGTACGAGAATCGCGGGAAATCCTGTGATCGTACGATAATCGTACAGTGTATGGAAGGCGTGCGACCGTTTCTACTGTACGGTCGCAAGTCTTCTGTTGAACAAGCTGGCTTGAAAACGATTCTCGGCGGGTTAGTGGCCTGCTTGTTCGACACTGCCCGTTTGCCGTGATCGGAAGCCCACCCCTCACTGCGGTCATCGGAAGCCCGCCCCTCAGCGGGGCGGGCTTCCGATGATCGCAAGTACGATCTGCCTGTCCATGAAGGGCAGATTGTAGGAGCTTTTAATAAGCTTACGACCATCGCAAGACAAAAGGCTTGCGTATATCGGCTGAAATCAGCCGTACCAGCCTGAAGTGAATAGCCGTACCAGCCTGAAGTGAATAGCGTTTGGCTCACTTCGCTTTAGGTCGGTCATTCACTCGGCTGCCTACGGCAGCTTAGTGAATAGACCCCTATGTCATCATGTTTCCCCTCTAACTCTCCCAGATCGGCTTCCCTGAACCTCCTGTCCAGGAAGTTCCTGCACAGTCTGCAGGAGCTGTCCATCTACTAGCTTAGACAAGGGAGGAGGGAAGTTAAAGGAGAGCAGGGGGTGGGGAGTGTATTTCCTTGCTGTGCTTTTGTGTTTGTGGAGACAGTTTACTAGCACACACAAGGGTGGCTCAATAGGACCCTGCAAGGGAAAGGAGCCACCCTAATATAGGATATCAGGTCCAGTGTTCAGGGGACCAGCTGATTCCGCAGGAAACTAAAACATTTAAACATCAAGGAGCAGCATTCATTGTAAGTGATTTAATCAGATTTAAAACGGCTTAAAAACCTTTTGACTTTACTATCACTTTAGCGGAGCACCATTCTGGTGGCACGAGCAATGGGAAAAGTCAGTAGTCACAGTCTTCCTATACAGCCATGACTTGTTAGATTTGATGACAGGATCGTATTAATCTAATTTTTAGTGATGGAGCATGTCACCATCATAAGGCTTTATACTGGCCATGAAAGTTGTGAGGAACAGAGATCTCTGGAGAGAATATTTCCCCACCAGCATTCTATGGAGAAGTAAGAGGCCAGCCTGTAATGTTCCATGCCAGCACAGAAATAATACAAATGTTTGTGCCTATTGAAGTGGTTGAACTAAGTAGACAGGGCCCTGATGTAATGAAGAAATATAAAATCAGGGAGAAGGAAGGAGTTAACAGTCATTTCTATTCATTTTCCATAACCGCATGAGATTAGGCAATCGTTCGTTAGACTCTCGTCCCTGCATTCCCTATTAACAAAATAACAGGAGATGGTTCCAATTAACAGGTCAGTAATGCCTCACATATGTCTGTGACTGTAATGGAAACTCCATGTAAACTGGCTGAATATCATATAATCATCTTTCAGAGAGACTGGAAGTTTCCCATGATGTCAAATGTATGCGACATTACACGGTGATACATCACACCTGGGGCCATATGTTACAGGGCACATTAAACTCATATTTCCTAACCAAACACCTTTCCAAAAGATATGGATGACAAACCAGCAGGTTCATTTCAAGAGTATCTACAGGAAAACCCTTTTTTTTATAGTTTAGGATGGAGTAGTGAAGGGCTAGAACCCCTGCCAGGTTTTATAGCTATTAATATGAGAGAGAGAAGCTGGTTGCAGTGCAAATCTGCTCCAGTGTTGATAAATTCCCCCCAATATGTTCTAGCTGTATGTGTTCCCACTGGGGAGATGCACTTGTTCTGGTGACCATTATTATCACCTAGACTGAATGTGAGGGACAATCCCAGAAATGTGAGTTGTCACCAGAATATTCTATTGGGTCACTTGTTCTGGTTACATCCATATAAAAGGAGATTTCCCTCAGTGTGTTGTGTTTTCTCCCCACTTCCTGTTGTGACTACAGGATAGGAAGTGAAAGAATCTCTCCCCAATGAGACACTGATGGAAAAAAACATGACAATGGTTTTAACTGTTTCCTACTCTATGCAAAATGAAAAAGAAGTTTATGAAAGACCCCCTTTAATAAAGTGCCCACAGTAAATAATAGTATTAGACAAAATTACAAATAGGAACGCGCATCTCTTATTTGGAAAAATTCTCCAATTCAGCTCACTTTCCGGTCCAGCTATGTTGTCCTAGATTGGGCACTGCCTTCTCCAAACTCCTCACCCTTCTGTGAACAACCCTGTTCATTTTTTTTAATTTTGAAAGTTATCAATATATTTGATTAGGATTTGCCAAAGCCAGCTTATATATGAGCTCCAAGTGCAAACCTAATCTCACAGCACTTTTGCATTCCATTCAAATAGCCATAATGGGACAACACAGTGCAATGCACCAAAATGGATCCCACAGGAGCTACAGAAAACAATGGGTTTGGGTTTGTCCATTTATGTCTTGTGAAATGCAGCAAATGAATAACAGCACATGCAGTGACAACAACTTGTGACTACAAAGAATCGGTCCAGATTTGAGGATGTACAAGCAATTGTTGGGGATCTTTTACAAATCTGACACAGGCTACTGTAAGCAAGTGTGTGCATTTATTTGTTTCACATTTCTGCATGCTTGTGTCCCTATTTATTATGCATTATAAAAAGAGAGACAGAAGCATTAATAATAGACAAGGTTCCTATAGATTTACAAGGTCCCTATAGAATAGGGTCAAAACTAAATGACTGAGATGGTGGCCAGTCCACTGCCACGTCATTTAAACTGCACTCTAATTGGGGCCATCAAGGCCATCTCTTGCCTACCCAGATCAACAACTGCACTGGGCACATGCCAGATAGTTGCTGGAAATCATGTGGAATTCATTTCAAATGCTCACCAGCTCTATAGTGCCTGACATAAGATGGTCCAAAGCAGGCTAGCAACCTTAGCTAGGAATGGAAAGCAAAATGCTGAAGGAGGAAGGGATAGAAATAACAGCAAATGGCTCATCAACAACTCAAAAAACCCTATACATGCAGATATCATTCAGGTTCCAATGACCATCACAGAGACTCCATTTTAGACATTTAAAAGTTGACTTGAAGAACCTCAACCAGGAATATGGCCAGAGAAACAGCCATGATTTTACCACTGCCAGGTAGGTGAAAAAACTGTTCATACCACATAACCTCCAGATCTAGAGAGGACAAAGCTCTGGCTGAGGGAGGTTCTAAATTTATAGATAATTGCTCTTATAGGGGTAGAGGAGAAGTGGAGTCGTATATGTAACATGAAGCTGGTTACTGTAAAACAAAAAATTAATAAGGGAATTTTTTGTGCATTTACAAATAATTTTAATGATCCTTCTTAGGTATGTAAATGCAAGAAATGGAGAAGTCCTGTCTTTAATGGAAACACCAAGTTCAATGCCAATGCTAAGAACCAGCTACATAGTAATGCATTGGATTCTGGTGCATTAAAAGTCTTCTGTGTACCAGAGAAAAAGAGAAGGGGACATTATTGTTAGACCCAATCAAATCGCTGTTGTATTATTGTCAAACTTTCCCACCAACATGTGATGTACATGAACATGCTTACTCAACAGAAACTGTGCCAAGACCTGTGCCACTAAAGGGCTTGTTCTCACCGAGTCCATTGAGCTGTAGTTTTCTGCACACCACCGCACATGTATGTTGTGAAGAGGACTATCTGATTTCTACTGCATATGACTTGCTCACACCATACATGTGCTGTGCTGTGCAGAAAAATGCAGCACAACGGACATGGTGTAAACAGGCAACATGCAGTAACCAAAAGCAACTGATCGAAACGAATTTTCCTGCAGCCATGTCAGCATGAGGGTTGTTCACACCACTTCCAATGCAAGGACCAGCCAAAACAAGATTATTTTCAATTGCTCCAGTTCACACCATTGTGCTGCATTAATGTTGATTGTGTTTTTGTGTAGCACAGTTGGACACACTACCACACCTCAAAACGTACTGGGTTTGGGACACACTGGTTTTGGTAAAAAAAAATGAAGGTAAAAAATGCAACACAGCGCTTTTAAAAAAACACAGCACAACGATAATCAAAAATGTGCGTCAGTGCATAGACATGCGGTATAGACAGGTGATGTGGTGTGAACCTACCCTACAAAATCTGATTGGCAGCCGTGACTTACTGCACCACTCTTTGCTCCTTGTACTATTTATTAAATAAGCCTTCTGAAGTGTGTGCCGGTAACTGAGCCCTGGTATGGAGCCGTATTTAAATGAATGTTATGTAAGATGTTAGCCGGGACTGTCCTCTCCAGCTGTTGTAAGCCTTAAACACACCACCCCTGTGAGCCTCCCAGCAAGAGTGTTTGTGTGAAAGCTCCTGGTGTCCAGGGCATCTTTCCAACCCCAACCTAGGGAGAGAGAATGAGTGAAAGAGAGAGAGAGAGAGAGAGAGAGAGGGGGAAAGAGAACTGGGAGTGATTGGATGGTTGTCTCCATCTGCTGCCAGTTCTCAGGTCATTTCATTATCCAGCTTCTACCCAGAGCAGCCCTTATCTCCAGCTCTTTGCTATCCCCACCTGTGTTCTGCCTCTCTGTCCTCCTTCCTTCTGCTCTCATTATCCAGGGTATGGTAGAACACATTGCTGTTGCTCTGTGTCTCTTATGCAATCCATATCCTGTGCTATGTGAGCTTTCCTAGCTCTCTCCTTCCCATGTCCTCCTCCTGATCTCCTCATTCCAGCTTATTTCCTCCACCCAGCTTCACTGCAGCTCTACGCTCTCCACCACCAGTTCCGTCTTCATACCTCCAGGATGAGGCTACAGAACAAGGTGAGGATGGGGGAGGACCACAGGAGGGGATGGAGGTGTGCGAGTGCACAGGGAGGGGGAGGCTGAACATTTACTGATGGGTTTCAGCACTTAAGAGGGTTAATGTAGCCCGAGGCTGTGAAGTTTCAGGCTGCTCTGTACAGGACATGGACAGAGGAGGAGTATATGGTAGAGAATGTTCATAGGCTGTGTTTAAGTTCTATACATGACTGCAGGGTGCAAACATGAAGCCGATGTTAACCCCTAATAATTACATTTTGTTTGATAAAACACTGCGTATCGTAAACATTTAAAAATGTTTAACATTAAAGACTTGTTTCCATTTTTTCATCCGTTGAGCATCTTGGTACTGCTGATCTCCTGCAGCCACTTCCTGTCTACATGCATGTGCTCAACGATGGCTGCATGGCTTTTTCTCAGGGCAGGTTTCCTGATGGAGACCACAGCGGGCCATGGCTACCTAAGGTGTGGGAAACAGATATTTGTAGCCTCCATAGGAAACCTATGTTAGAGGGTGACAACACAGGAGTTCCACTTCGATAGAGGTTTGTCACCTTATACAGGAAGTGCTGATACTAAGACCCTTCATGGCAGGATCACCAGGTATTATAATGAAAGCTGCAGATTTATAAATATTATGAAATGTCATTAACATGCTAAAGCTCAGATGTGATTTTAGTAACTGAGTTTAAATATTATTTAAAGAAGAACTTCAGTTTGTTTTTTTTGTTATAAAACTTACCTTTGTAATGTGTGCTATATAGAGGTGCCTATGAGTCTACACACCTCTGAAGCGGCTGGGTAGGACTGGTGAAACCGGTCACGTGTGGCCACAGGCCCGCATATGCAGCCGTGGGGGCACTTCCCTCATTGATATAGAACTACTCTGGCCATGATACTCTGCCACTAAAGGAACTGGGCACTTGCTACGTGATTGAGAGAGACTTGTTTGCATTACTCTAGCCTAGGGACTATGTTGGGCATGCACCTTTGCCATCAAAGGACCTGTGAGTGGACATTTGGGATATGATTGAGAGACATTTTTATGCACTATTTATAATATCTGGATTAAGTGATTATTATCAAAGTTCCAGTGGACGCAGGGGGAATACTTGTCAGCCCTGAGACTGATTCTGTTATATGTATTGTGCAGGAGTGAACTGCTGTATTCAGATAGTAATGTATATGGCTGTGATGTGGGACTGATGGACCCCATTATTATATGTGGATTGATCCTATGAATTCAGGAACAAAGGGGTAACCTTATAGGTCCAGCTATTGGATCTATTTGTTACTATACTTCTGCTGGGAAGCACACTGCTGGACTATTTGAACTGTTGAATATAGTCCTGGCATGCAACACTGCTGTACTGAATCTTCTTGGCTTTGATGAATCTCCATTATTATCCCTTTGGGTAGTTGCACAATATAATATACTGAAACTTCAATCACTCCTTCTTGGCATCCCTTATGGTGGATGATATTCCTGGCATAACTACAAAAGCTACACTGATGGATGAGAGATCTTGTCACACCTAAACTCTGGATTACCAGATATGAGTTACTTAGTGACTACTGGATTATCTCTGCTGACATACAAAGTTCTTGGTGCACCTTATACAGATATAAGAGAGTCTGCAATTGTGGCCTTACTGCATTACTCCTACATTTGGCACTGGAATATTGATTATGTGCAGATATTGACACCATTGATATGCATTATGTGATGATGCAATTCCATGGTGATATCAGCTATATGGTTCATGCTGAGAAGTTGAAGGTGGTGACTAAGTGTACCGTTTCCACAATCTTAGTGTGAGCTACGTGTGTATGGCAAGCTTACAGGCACTCTTAGATGTTATATGTTCAAAGTCTCTTTTACAGAGTAAAAAATAGAAAGCATGGTGTAGAAAAATTAGACATTAAACTTTTTACTTGTTGACATAACATATCTGGTAGACTGGTAACTTGCATTGTACATAAACGTCTTTTGCAGGTGTGTCCAACAAAGGTGACTTTGATACTGTTTTTCGGTCTACTGATTGTCATCTCAGATGGTTCCAAACCAATCAAACGTACACCACCGAAACCCAAAGGCTGTGCTGACCGCCAAGAGGAGGTGTTGGAGCAGATGTATGGGCACCTAGCAGCCAGCATGCTCAGTGCCTACCACCACACACTGCAACTACAGCCACTGGAAAAGGAGAATATTACCTGCCCAGCTGGGATCCATGGAAGGGCCCAAGCGGAAGGCAAGCAGCAGCTGCCGGTCAATATAAACAGCATTTCTCCATGGGCATATAGGTGAATGAACATTTATATACTTTTGGTTGCTACTGTTTGTATTTTGCATTCAATAGTGGCCATATTTTTTTAATTCTTTTATTTAAAATTGTCATAAAAATATTAACAAAATTTGTTTTACACAAACAAAACCATCTCCAACAATGGTTCCAAAACATAATACACAAATCATACAAATCATACAGCTCATAATAAAAAAAAAAACAAAATCTTTATTCCACCCCTCCAAACCAAACATAAACCCCCAACTCAAAAATAGAAAAAAACACCATATTTCAAAACAGAATATGCATATATCCACTACATATAAACCTCTCGGACAACACACATATGTCCGCTAAGGCTCCGGGCAATTTCCTCAAGGCCTAGTGACCTGAAAAAAAGGGAATAAAAATTCAAAAAAGTTAAACCCAATCCCGCCATTTCTCCAGGTGCCAAATATGGCCTGCTGCCTCATCCCCAAATTTTACTTTATCATACCAAGCATAAAAGTATAGCTTCCCCCTAATCATCACCACACAATCCCTCACACTCACTTCTTCCTTCTTAAACACTACCAAATTCCTCACATCCCATAACACTTCTTTTACACAACACACCAACATCCATAACACCCTAAATCTCACTTTATCCAATGCGCACAACCCATACAACACCATATCATACGTAACATTCTGCACCCCAGTCAAACCTGCAATTAACTTCGCCAAACTTCTCCACACAGTTTTCACATACCCACATTCCCAAAATACATGCACTACAGACTCACAACAACCACACCCAGACCGCGGACACAACTCACTCCGCACAAACCTTCTCCGATACTGAAAGGCCCTGGTTGGTAGACACCCATGCACCGCCGCCCAGGCCACATCCTTTTGCCTATTTAAAATCTCACCCATTGCCACATTCTTCCACACCAACTTACATTCCGACATAAGCAACCCACCAATAGGCACCATCTCCTCCCGCTCATACAAAATCCCCATTACCTTCCGACTCTCCTTCCACACCTCACTAGACACCGACTCTAAACCATACAACCCCACATACTTCTCAATCCTAGCATAGTACCACGGAGCCTTAAAACATTCCGGCTTCTTCAAATCCCTATGATACGCAAAACATTTCCTCAACACCCTTCCTCCTAGATACCTAACCATACACCCCGCCACACCATCACTCTCACTCATCCTTACACAAACTAATATACTTCACCATCAAAAACCTTTCCACGTCCACCACATCCTTACCACCATTCGCCTTCATTCTCATCACCTTCCCACGCTTCACCTTTTCCATCCTGGAGGACCAAAAAAAGGAAAAAAACAATTTAACAATTTTCCTCAACACCCCATACATTGCTGGAAAAATAACATAAACAAACAACAACATAGGCAAAAGAACTGCCTTTATAATCAATACTTTCCCCTCCATAGACAAGGACCGCAAGGTCCAAAATTGAATCTTCTTTTGCACTTTAACAAACAACTCTTCCCAACATACCCTCCCAAACAAATCATCATCAAACCACACCCCTAACACCTTGATACTCCCTCGACACACCTTCCACGCACAAACCTCAGACACATCCCACTCCCCAAACAATTTACACTCACTTTTCTCCATATTAACACAAAAACCACTCGCCATACAAAATATCTCTATCAACAACTTCGCCCTCTTCAACCCAAACCCATTCTTACAAATCACCGACACATCATCCATATAACCAAAAACTTTCAGGCTCCTCCCACCACTCCCAGGCACTTCCACACCCCTCAGCAACTTATCCCTTCTCAGCATACCCATCAACGGCTCTATCACACATACGAACAACACCGGGGACAAAGGGCACCCCTGCCGCACCCCAGACCTAACACACACCTCCTTTGACAACCACCCATTCACCAATACCTTACTCACCATCCCCTTATACAAACACCTCATCCACTTCAACATCAACTCCGGCACCCCCATCCTAGCTAACACTTTAAACATAAACTCGTGTGCCACACGATCATACGCCTTTTCGAAATCAACCGCCACATTCTGTTTCCTATCCCTACTATCCCACAAGCAATCCCGCAAAACACTCAAACACTCAGCAAGCGATCTCCCCGGAACAGCACAAAACTGATCCTCCCCCACCATTCTAACAACAACCTCTCTCACCCTATCCGCAATCAACTTAGCAATGATCTTGTAATCTACATTCAAAAGCGAAATAGGCCTCCAGTTTTTCAAATCACTCTTTTCCCCTTTTTTATACAACAAAACAATCACCCCCTCCCTCATGGAATCCGACAAACAACCACGCTCCAAAACCTTCTTACACACATTCAAAACACTATCCCCAACAACATCCCAAAATGCTATATAAAATTCGACCGGCAAACCATCCCCACCCGGGGTCTTCCCTTTCTTCATTCCTTTCAACACACCCTCTACTTCACTCAACATCACGTCCGAAGTCAAACCCTCCCTATCCTCCTCATTCAAACACCCATCTACATAACGCAGCACATCATCCTCACCTCCCAAATCTCTCTCACTCTCAGTATACAAAGTAGCATAAAACTTTCGCACTTCCTCCACCACCTGCTTATTCCCACTCACCAACACACCGTCTTCACCAATCACACTCAACACCTCAGACTTCTTGTGAAACACCTTTTTAAAAAAATATTTAGTACATTTTTAATCCTTTTCCCGCACCGTTGCTTTCGTCTGCATAATAATTTTCCGCCCCTCTGCCTCTAAAAATTTCCGCAGTTTAGCTTTCGCAATCGCAATATCGTCGTACACATCCTCCCCCAATTTCCTAAGTTCCTCCAAATATTCTAACCTCCTTTGCCACGCCTCGTACGCTTCACGCTCCTCTCGCGCCCTAGCACACCCTTTCTGAATAAAAAACCACTTAGTCTTCAACTTTACCCATTCCCACCAAGCAACCGCATCCTCAAAATCCCCAACCTTCTTACATAACCACCCAAAAAAACTTACATACTCACACTTCACCACCTCATCTTCCAACAAAGCCACATTCAACTTCCACACACCCCTCCCATGCACAGCATCCGTCCTTACTTTCAAAACACATTCCACACTCCCATGATCCGAAAAAGCCACACGATTTACACTAAAACCCCCCACCTCCCAATTCCTGGAGACAAAAATAAAGTCAATGCGGGATTGGACATTCCCACGGTCACTAAAATAAGTACAGCCTTTATTCTTGCCCACATCCACCAACCCAAAGGTCTTACAAATGTCCAGTAATTCTTTACCGGAACTATCAACCGCCCCACCACCCCCACCACCACACCTCCCACCGACTTCAACAATACAATTAAAATCCCCCACCACCATCACAGGCTCTCTACCTGCCAAAAAAACCCTCAATTTCTCAAACATAAACAGCCTATCACTCCTAGCGGCAGGCGCATATACATTGATCAACTTGAATAAAACTCCATTATGCTCCACTTCTAAAAATAAACATCTCCCCTTCACAATATGGACGCATTTCAGGATTTTGAAATCATAACCCTTAACCAGTTGACATCCGCGGTGTTAAACCCCCTTCCCATCCAGGCCATTTTTCAGTATTCAGCGCTGCGGTACTTTAACTGACATTTATTCCGTCATGCAGCGCTGTACTGAAATGAATTTTATACCCTTTTTTGGGGACAGATAGAGCTTTCTTTTGGTGGTATTTATTCACCACTGATGGAGACGGCAACCCGCAGATGCAGCAGTGCCGTCCGTCCGTTTTTCTACTACGGGCGGACGGCAAGAGGTTAAACAGAACACCAACCCCCCAACACTTATTTGGACTAACCAAAAACACAGAGGGACCCAAGGACCAAGGCGCAACCTTCGGCACCTCCTCCAGGTTACACTCCTGGAGGCAAAAAATCTGACAGCTTTGAAATGATAAAAGCCTAAAAATAGCCGCCCGCCTAAACGGGGACCTAATACTCCTAACATTTAGTGAAAAAACCCGCAAATCCATAGCCCAAAAAAGGAGGGGAGGTGAACCAAAAAAACACTAAACCAAAAAACCTAAACCAAAACAACAGACAAGCAAAAACAAAACAAACAAAAGGCATAGAGCAAGAAGAATGCATTAAGCCATCAGCAGCCCTAATCATCAACGCGGGGCCGATTTCCCTCTTGCCTTTGCCCCACTAACATACGGTTCCCTTCCCTCCCGCACACCCTTCATCTCACTCTTCCTCTCCTTCTTCTTCTTCTTTTCCGCCTTTTCTTCTTTATCACGGAACCCCATGACTTGCTCCAGGGATGACACCTGGCTCAAAAAGGACTGAGCCGAAGAATCAGAGTCTGCCACTTGCTCAGCACTCGCAGTACTTGGATCACTAAAAAATTCCTCGATATTCGCTGAAGGAGCTACCTCCTCCTCTGCCATCCTGCGCTTCAGCGTCTCCCGGCTCAGGTCCATTTCCTCCTCGGCACTGGCTCCACCTTCTTCCCCCTCAGCCATCCAGGCCTCTAGGACCTGCTCCAGCGGAGGAGTAGCAGACCCGTCATCATCCGCAACAGCCTCCACAGGGGAAGGGCCCGCCACAGCCTCCACAGAGGAGGGTTCCCGCACTTCACAAGCCCCCGGCCTTATTTCCACCTCAGGCACCAACGGTCTGACCCTCTTCTCAGGGGACTCCTCGATAACATCGGAAGAAGACCGCTTCGTGGCCGGACCACCAGGTTCAGGAGCAGACACACTCTCGCGGGGCACCTCGCTGCCCACAGAATCCTGGTCAGATAGCAGGGACACTCTCCGCCTGGACACTTTCGGACACCGCCTAGCCAGGTGGCCCTCCTCATCACAGAGGTGGCACCTACGGCCCGCAGAACACTCCATGGTCTTATGCCCAGGCCTAAAACAATTGCGGCAAACAATCCCAGCATCACACTCGTCTCTAGTGTGACCAAACGCAAAGCAGTTGCGACAAAATTGAGGCTGACCCGGGTACCATAATACCCCACGATTGCTGCCAATTGAAAAACTCTGAGGAGGGTGACAGGAACCCCCAACACCCCCCACATCCGACTTCAGCTTCACGAAAAATTTTCGCTGCCCATTATAAGTCCCGAAGACATTTGTTAGCCTGACCGCACGGGACACAAACTCACAATACCGCCCTAAAAAGGCCTGTACCTCTTCATCCCTGACAAAGGGATTAAACATGTGGACAACCAACGGGACCCTGGATCTGGTTTCACTTGACAGAAAAGTGATACCGTCCACAAGAGGATCATCCTTTTTCTCCTGTATCCGGAGCAAACAGGTCTGGAATTCCGCAATACTAAAAAAAGAAACATCAAAAAACCCACCACTGGGGAAACATTGAACACAAAAAATAGCGCTGCGTGCCATGCCAAGAAGATCCTCCATGATCCTTTTCTGTACTGTGTACAGGCCCACAGTTGCCCTCATGCCAGTTGGTAAAACCAACCGCACAGTGTTCGGCGCCTCCGGAGGCCCGACCGTCATACTGGCGCCCTACCGACCTAAGGAACCTCCACACAAGCCATCTGGGGACCGGCTGGAGAAGGGTGATCGCCTCCCGTTGCCTGGGGACTAAGCCTGCTTGGCCAATAGCAGCAAGGGGGGGACCCTCCGAAGAGAGCACACAACCCAAGGCCGACCCCTGCGTACCCCAGGCACCTTCTGACTAAGAAACAAGGCAGTCAATACTACACTTGATCTAATCATATCTAATCTAATCATAATGGCTAGTCATTCAACAGGAACAAAAATATGCATGTCATGCGTAAAGACTATTGTGACCTACATGTGTTACATGTGTGTTCCAGGTTAGTGAGACCTGATAACTAGTTAAGCGAGGATAAGAATGCACTTTCACAAACAAGTCAGCAATGGCAGCTGACATATTTAGGTTCTGATGCCTTGGATATAGCACAATATATCTGGACGTGACTCAGCTGGGTTTGCACCAACCATGTATAACTGGATTCCCATTAAATGCAGCACATAAAACATGTAAGGATATGTTTTTACAACTCTCTCTCTCTCTCTCTATATATATATATATATATATTATATATAAAATTTATTTTAGTTTAAAGGATATGCTGACATGAGGTGAGCCAGGAAATTATATATATATATATAGTTCTCCTGTTCAAAGGATAACAAGAGGCTGGTAGTAAGGTGCATAGGCACATTAAGGTATTGACACTAGATGCATAGAATAGATTTATTTATTTTTGCACTACTTGCATTGGTTGGTGTTTTTTTAATACCTGCGTGATCTTCTGCTTTAATTCAACCCTGATCCATACTAGCCAATCTGCATTTAACGTATCATGTGTTCTATTTTGAGATAAGACATTCATTTTAGCTTCTCTCTCTAATACAGATAAGTAAATAGCTAATCAAACGTGAAGGCCGAAGTAGCTCCAAATAGGTCACATTTAACGTGAACCGTTACGGTTGCCACCCTGTGCTTGATCAGAACCATGATTTTGAAATACAGCCAAATTAGGAATTGACACTTTGATTATAGTTAGAGTAATCTAGAACAGCATTTGATGTACCAGACTATCATAAATATTTGTTTTCTACTCCTAGGATTACATATAACCCCATGAGATACCCCAAGTACATCCCAGAAGCATATTGTCTGTGTAAAGGTTGCCTGACAGGTCCCTTTGGAGAAGAGGACTTCAACTTTCGAAGTACACCCGTCTACATGCCCACTGTCATACTTCGACGTACAACTTCATGCACAGGGGGTCGGTATGTCTATGTTGAGGACTACATTACAATTCCAGTGGGCTGCACCTGTGTGCCAGAATCAGAGAAGGAGATTGAACCAGATAGTGTTAACTCAAGCCTAGAGAAAGAAAAGTTCAAAGTTCCCATAGAGAAAACGGAGAAACCAAGATCCATCTGAACGTGGAGATGACATGACAAGCAGGACATAGGAAAGAATGATGTCTCTAGGTAGTCTTTCAATATTTCCATCATACAGATCTTTTTCCTCTAGACATATGAGGACTACTCACTTCGGGTGAAACTGTTGGAGAAAATACAGTATACTTATGATGGACTTAAATGGGTACCATATTGAAGTGTTCAAGGGAGCGTCTCTTAGTAGAGCTGTAGGAAATGAAGAAATAACCGCTCCTACACCAATGACTACTAAGACAGCAGCCACTCAACATATAGTTATCCTAATGGATGATTCATAAGCTGTTCCTTAATTTGTGGTGGTTGAGCAGGATGAGGCCTAGGAACTTTGTGTGCCTCATCCAGTACAGCTACATAAACCAGACCTGGGGAAATAGAGCTGCTGCTGTTCATGGAAACTAAACAGGGTTTATATTTCACTCTGGGTGAAACAGAGACATTTATTGCGGGCAACGGCATCGGGTATGGGGGGCAACACTGACAATAGACTGTAGAGACCTACCGGTAGTAGAGAAATGTTGTCCATGCAAATTTGATCCTCTTGCTATACTGTCACACTGACAAAAGAAGGGGCCCTATGTTTGTGGATGGACTGGTAACTGGTAGGACTGGACATCCTACCAGTCAGTGAAAAGATAATCTTGGGGCCTGGATTAGTACTCATGCATTGTACCTTACACTTTGCCGTGCTCTAGTTTATCAGGAGCCTTGTGTCAATGTGATGTCTGAGATCAATTACTCTATGCTGCTGCCTGTAACCGGCTACAAATTGTACATGATGGTACACATGGGCATGCAGAAGATGTAAAGGAAACGCAAGGTGCTCCGACTCTTGTCAAATGTGCCTGGAAACTATACACAAAGCAATCCTATATTACTTGTTAGATAGCAAGGCTATACAATTATTTTCTTTTAAAAATAAATACCTTAATTCAAGTACTATTCTGTTATTTTTACTAGACATTTTGTATTATTACTGACCTCCAATAATATGCTGACCATAAACAAGCATCTTAGGAAACACAAAAATACAACAGCAAAATGATTGCCAAAAATGCGCTTACTAATTACAGTGAGGGATTACCATACCTGAAACGAATAGCAATAGTCATGAAAATAAGGTGTAAAGCAAAAAATCGCAGGTATTAAAATATATCTAGTAATATAATAAGGTCATAAGCCAATCTCTCAGCACAGAAACCCTGCAATGCCAGTGTTTAGAATTACAACAGCAAAAGCCAAAGTGCAGTAAATGTCTGGCATTTCCAGTGAAGAAACCTGTATATTCTCAGTTTTTAATCTTAAAGTGGACCGGCTCTCCAAAAGTGAAGATGTTTTATCTTACCAAGAACATCTAAAAATGGTAACTGCCTAAAAAGTATGGAAGCGTTAAAGTTTTGTAATAAAGTACTTCTAAAAAAACAACAATATACGGTACTTCCTGTGGCTAGGCAGTCCTCTGCATTGAATCCCATATGTGTAGTGTAAGATCTAAGGCACTGCTGTCTCTGGCTTCTTATCCTGCAGGACCTGGAGTTCAAGGATCTCCCTGCTTCTGCTTCATGCAATCTGTGGATGTTTGTTTTCTGCTGCTTTTTATCAGCCCACCAGTCATCAGAGGGGCAGCTCTGGCATGAGGAAGCAAAGCCCTGCTACTCTAACAAGATGGCTGCCTCCACAGAGACACAGTGTGGAATAAAATATGGCAATCAGTAATGGGAAAAAAGATCAATTGCAGGGACCCTATTGGCCAGGGGTAGGCAACCTCGGCACACCAGCTGTGGTGAAACTACAAAACCCAGCATGCCTGTCTATCAGAATCTTATAATGTCTCATGTGATTTGCAGAGGATGCCTACCCCTGCTTTGGCAATACTAGTGACTAGTCCTTTGGCCCCCTGCTTGCTTTTTTCGGGCACACTTTCTGGTATGGGAGGGTGCCTAGCCAAATCTTTGCCTACAGTCTCATAACTGTGTATCTGCAATGTGAATCTAAAGCAACGCTGCCTCTGACTGATAGTTTCAGTGATGTCATTATTGTACTGCTGGGGGGAAAGATCAGTAGCAGGGAGACCACAGGGAATAATGCTGACTAGTCCTTTGCCCACTGCTGGACTTTGTTTGGGGCACAGCGTACCGCAATCAGAGTTCAGGCAGACACAATAATCTTCACTTATAGAATAATCTACTGTATACTGTAAATATCCATGTAACTGAAGCTGCAAGGTTCAATTCTAATTCACAAATCATCAGGTATCTCCATTGTAATTCACCAACTGTATAGTAAGTTAAAAATTGTATTTCACTAGTCTTCCTAAATCAGATCAAGTTCTCCCAGTGTGTAAATGCAGATTGTTGTATACATCCATCTTTCTGCCTGAAACAACATTACATTAAGGGACCGTAATAGACAGGGGTACAGGTACTCCTAGAATGAGATCCTAACAGGTTGGACTTGATGGACTATACTGGAACATCTTCATGCCTGCACATATGGTGATATCAGAACACATATTATAAATTCAATAGCGAGTCCATGAATCCTCCTGCAATGGAATGGCCTTGAGAGACAAGGTTTGCTCATACACTTCTAGGAACAACAAATATACAGGGATCTCTAATGTGAGAATTCCAGACATTTCGTGTATCTTATGTCTGATTGACCTTGACAGTTGCATTTCCCAGCACCAACGTAAGATAATGTAGTAACAACATGGCCATATTTTTAAATAGGAGTGTGGGATGTTAACTGGACAAAGGTTGGACTGCCACTGTATATTAATAATTATGATTTGCACGTTGGTAATACCTGAAAGTTTTCCTTTTTGCCATTTCATCCTGAGAATTGTTATAGTCAAACATCTACAGTAAATGACCTCTGCCCGTCATCTGCAGCACTGGGAGCGCTATGCTATTTCTCGCACAGCTCAGATAGACAGAAGTGAATCATTTCACATCAAGAGCAAGGATCAGTCATGAGCTCTTTAAACGACTCCTCCATGGCTATTTTTTATGAGTTCAAAGAAGTCCTCCCTGCGAAGCAAAAATGAATACAAACTAAAAGATCTTCTACCTTCAACACTTCCGCGTGTCCCCCTCTGCGCTCTATGGCTTCTTCCACCAGCCCCATGTTACTACTACGTCCTGTAGTTACACATGGGCTGACACATGGGACCATAGAGCAAAGCAAGGGACTCCTGAATCCAAGACTCTCAGAAGTGTCACATGTAGATCTTTCATTGCTTGCTTTGCAGAGAGAACCTCTTTAGGGCCTGTAGAAATTGAGACAGAGTTGATTTAATTGTATCTGTCCTAAACCGCCATATGCTTGTCTAAGAGGCATTCATGTCCATGTTTATTCTGACAATATATTTTATTGATGAGCATTTTCTACACTTGGGTCAGTCAGGTGCTGCCGTCACAATCTTTGTCCTATCCCGAGCAAAGAAATATTTTTATTTTCCATAACATATTGTGGGCCAATATTCTCAGGTTGCTGGGGCCCTCTGCAGGTCTCAGGCAGCACTCACACTGCTAGATAACTGATCAGTGAGCAATGAAGATTTGTATCTTTTTACTTCTGCTCAGAACATGAGAAAACATATATTAATGGTAGAATAAGGTCAATGAAAAGTCAAAATGAAGTGAAATATAATCTCCATTCACAAAATCACCACAGACAACCCGACTTCAAATAGTTTCTGAAATGTATTCCCTTTTATTGTTGTAACGTCAGGTGTGAGACTGATCACACAGAGAATGACACGTGTGTTCTCATTATAATAAGCGGATCTTAAAAGGAAGTCCCCACCACAACCTTGGAGGGATAAACAGAATTACAGAATGTATGAGCATCACACTCTGCTGCAGTTGCAATGAATGCAACAATGTACAAAATAATTTGCAGGTAAAGGAAACTATGTTGTTCATAGAAACCGGTTTCCAGCCGTCATTCTTCCAGTGCAGGATTAAGAACGTGGACCAAACTGTGATTGGTTGTTCTGGGTAATAAAGAAAATTCCCTTCTTCTGGGCTTTATATACAAGACATCAAATATGTTGGTAGAGAGATCTTTAGTACATGGATTTTTCACATGATCTTGAGCTGGGCTTACAGTTTTTTGCAAGCACCCACTGGGTCTCAATGCCGTCTAGGCCTCAGGCTGTTTCTGGTTTTATACAGCCACATCCACTAGGAGTCCAGTCCTATCTCATAGTTGGAATAACATCTGAACTCATTGGCTAGTGATCGTGTGTGCTTTGGGATAAAATGACAAACCTTCAAGCCAAGTATTTTCATCACTAAATCCTCCATAACAGCACCTGAAACACAAATGTTATAGGCAACATGAATACAGTAATTATGTTTCCATGTTATGTGAGACAGAAAAGCCATCTTTTCTACATTCCAAATAATTTCTCTCATCATGAGCTTCATTTAACCCCTTCGTGACTGACGACGAACAGTGTACGTCGCCAGCATCGGGGCTGTTTAAACAGACTCCCGGCGGCTATTGCCACCAGGACTCTGTTTAAACTTGTAAAGCCGACTGTCGGCTTTACAACAGAAGCGATTCTGGCGACTTACCTGTCGCCAGATCGCTTCTGTGTCCCGTAGAAGGGGACACAGAAGGGGCGATCTGCACTTCAATAGCTTATTTCCAGTGTAAAGGTGACACTGGGGGTCTTTTGGACCCCCAGCATCACCTTAAAGAGTACCTGTCACCACCATCTGCTATCACATGGGGGGGGCTTGTAAGCCCCCCTATGTGATAGCAGTCAAAGTAAAGTAAAAAAAAAAAAAAGTTTTTTAAATTAAAATTAAATAAATCTAATAATAATTTTAAAAAAAACCTCAAAACACCTGAAGAATGCCTGCATCCAGTCAGGTTGTTCAGGTATTTTGACAGCCAGCGGGGGCGACTAGCAAGATACTGAAGCTTGGCCCAGCGGGAGATTCCTCTATCCACACAGCTTAGCGTAGATGGAGGAATCTGTTGCACTCTTTCCATCTGACCATAGAAAATCTGCAGATAATCTATAGGTGTATGGCCAGCTTTAGTCTCTCTCTGTTCACTTTCAAACTGCTCAGAGTAGTCTGGATTCTGTACAGATGTCTCCAGCAAAGAAACAGCTAAAAGGTAAGAAATATATTCATTTATAGGTGTGCTGTGTGGGGTTTTATCACATTTGAATGTAAAAGTGAAACTGCACTCTACATCAGATACATGAATTCCAGACACATCAAAACAAAAAGTTGTTCAGCTCCAGCCTGAGTAGAAAGGCCTTTTCCCTAGAAGTATGCTGCTGAGTGGAACCCTTGCTCCTCCCTGTGTGAAAGCAGCAATCTGTCTGCAGAAGACAGTCTAGAAAGCTAGAGCTCTCCAATCAGCAGGGAGTGTGATCTTTGCCTATTGCATAGCTATCTGTCTGCCTCAGGATGGAGGCTGGCATCAGATCTTGCTCCCCAGCTCACCGCCATCTTTTACATACAGGATACGAGCAGGGAAATCAGTGAACATAAGTCTTGCGTTTACTGATCTACTTGGGGCTTTGAATGAACCCTAAAGCCATAAGACCTGATGCATTCATGCCTGATGTGTTCATGTTTCACCTGATGCTGGAGATGAAGGAGACCGAGGTCCCTGTGTCCAAGACCAAATCCTTGTGACCAGGCATAACTATAGCATTTTGCAATTTGTCATGTGATCCATATATACACTACAAAGTAACAAGTTACAGGAATTCTCTGGATTAGAGCATACCGGTGCACAGTAAGATCTTCCCCTTAGTCAGGTACCGGATAGTATCCGCAGTCTTACTTAGACATTCTTCAGACAGGAATGGTGGATCTGCCAATACTATATCACAACTACGCGGCTGCAGCCTGTCTGGTAGGTCCAATGGATTATTGTAGTCGTAGAAGATGAAATCATCGCCATAGACTGAGAACCTCCTATCATATTCCAGTAAACAGATGGACACATCTCCAGCCAGTCCTTTAAGCTTCTGGTAAATGCTGGGAGCGCTCACACAGGCTATCCTGGAAACATACAAAATCACAGCAGTCACTAGAGGGCTTATCAGCAAGGAACAGAACTTGACAACTGATTTAATCTAAGCAGGGAATGAACCTCACAACTGAGAAAAGACAACAGGCTGCATGACTGAAGAAAGAACCAATCAAGTTCCTGCTACCCGCCATACTGCATTAGGACCACATAAGGAAGGATATCATTGGGCGCTGATCACTGGGACGTTCATTGACTTTTGACCATGAAGACCTGACACTGGGATTCAAAGCAAACAGCTAAATATACATTTTAAATACATACAGTACATACCACGTGCTTTAGCTCCAAAAAAGATTGCCATACTGCAGGTGACAAATCTACTTTCTTGTTCAGCAATCCCTCAACCTTCAGCCTAATGATCAATGAACCAGGAGCTGAACTATGAAGCGGTTAGGATGAACCAGGAATCACTATTGTGAACGGACATTCTGGCTATGCAGATAATAGTAACTAGTAAAGCGAAAACATCTCTCAGAATTATAAATAATGCTTATTTGCAAAAATAACTTGAATTGTAGGAAAAGTCATACCTCCCATTTTCACCGGAGGCCTCCAATGCTTCTTTGGCCAGACACAGTGCAGTTTCATTGTCGTACCAAAACTGACTTAACTGCTGTTTAGGGGAAGAAAAACAATAGTAATGCACAGCGCCCCTGAAGTACTTAGTATAACCCCAGCAGTATTTATTGTCACGACTGTAAGACCTTATACATATCGTCTTTAGCATGTCGAAGACCGACGTGCACAATAAGCTTTTACAGTGCATTTGCAAGCTTTTAGAAAATTTCAAGCAGTTTTATTAAAACTTTTATAGCAACCAAGAGTTCCAGTTTTGGGGTTAAATATACATTTTAATAGGAATGCTGTCACTTTACGCAAGCTGCCAACACGCTACAGCAGGCTTTCAACAAGCTTCAAATCGCGCTGAAGCCTACTGAAGTCTGTTAGCAGGCCTTTCAAAGTGACGGCACCTACATTATGATCTTTGACTGTCCAAAACGCGAGCTGAAGAGTGCTTTAACCGCTTGAAGACCAGGTGTTTACACCCCCTTCCTGGCCAGGCCCTTTTTCAGTATTCAGCGCTGCGGTACTTTGACTGACGTTTATTCTGTCATGCAACGCTTTACTGAAATGAATTTTATACAATTTTTTGGGGACAGATAAATATAAAAGTCAGGGTCACGTCGGGTAAATAGACACCAAACATGTCAAGTTTTAAAATTGCGCGCACCCGCAGAAAACTACCATACCCAAAATTGGCCATAGGCGACGCTTTAAAAGCTTTTACCGCTCATCAGTTTAGTGTTATCAGTGATTGATGGCCCTAGACTTATTGCTCTCACTCCGACGTTCGCGGCAATATGTAACATGTGCGGCGTAATGGGCGCAATCGTCTTTTTTGCACGTATGCGTCCCCGACGCATGTTTGCATGCCTGTATGTATGGTTGGGGACTTTAAAAATGTTTTTGTTTTTTTATTCTTTTTTATGTGTAACTTCAAATTTTGGGGGGTGGACTTAAATTTTTTTTTTCACTAAACTTTTTTGACATCACATACGGGGGCTAATAAAAACCCCCTATGTGATAGCAAAATATGTGACAGGTCCTCTTTATGGAGACATCAGGGGTCGTCTCCAAGACCCCTAAATGTCACCTAGGACCCCCAAAAGAAGCTGATCAAGCACAGATCTGCTCCATCAGCTTCTGAAGCTGGAGAGTGACACAAGAATGTGGACGTGATGTATTATACAACACTTCCGCACTCTT